ATCACTTTAATAACCAACCAAATCACTATTATATTATATATTATTCACTAAATAAATAAATATGCCAATATATTTTGCGGAGTAAAACGAGGGGGGGGGAGGGCGGGGTCTATAACTATGTTATACCTTGTATATACGTCAACGGAAGACAAAATGGATTGTGTTTGGCTTCAACCAACACTATAAAATTCAGTATTTGCAGAGACCACTTAATACAGAATTCCTCACCTTATACACATGTGCAGCGATTATTGATGAAAGGGATCAATCATTTTTGGTCCCGATCAGATAAGGTTTTGGCTCTGGCTGTGCACTTAATAATACATGTGCTAGCGAAAGTTCGATATCATTTTCTAGCAATGTCAATGCACACTAGACACCTTGCATCACCTCTAATATCTTTTCTCTTGAGGATTCATTACTTTTTTAAATTTACTGATACTTTCTTTATTCTACACGTTGATGTGTTCGACAACTCGATTGCTTACGATGAAAAATGTTTAATTTTATACTATTAAAATTGTAACAGAAAATATTGAAATGATCGTTACTCAATAATTTTCACGTAAAAGCTAAGAACGCATGAGTGGTGGGAATATTACATTTGGCGCAAGTCTTATACGATCATAACAGATATCGCTCCCAATGAAAAAGTGTTGGTTCTCGTCCTGGGATAGGGACCATCTTGCTAGTATCTAACTGTGATATCATATCATCATGTTGTGATACTAAACACTTAAGAGAAAGAGAGAAAATTGTCAAAGTTATAATCTAAATAAAAAGATCAGTCCATAAAAATAAGCGAGTGTGGGTAACCAAAGGATTAAATTGTTTCTTACTCATGTATCATATTTGAAATATCTATCATTAATGTCAACATCTCTTTCTAAACGAAAAATCTCATATGGTAGTCTTACGGTTAAATTAAACAAAGACAAAACAGTCAGATAATATATTATAGATAATGAGAATTTACACTTATCACGTCATTCATCTGAACTAAAACCTATTCAAGTAGATAATACAATTCAACAAGTCAATCAACAACAACAATTCAATGATAAAATTAACATATTACCTCTCATGAAAATATCTGGAGCACCAATCGACAATACAAATGAAGATCAAAATTTAAGTTACCTAAAAAAACAGAAAAAACATAATATTTTGAATCAAATATCAAATTTTCAATCGAAAACACACAATATGCATGTTAATAAACCTATGATCAGTTCATCATCTTCAATATTAGCAAATACAAAAGATTACAAACAAAAGAATAAATTAGCCATTGTTTCAACAAAAAGCGTTCGTCGGAAAAAGCATGTTCGTAAAAAACAAATCTGCATGCAACCATCATGGATCTATCCTAATGGAAATTCATCAAAATATAATTATCTTTTTAATAAATCTATTAAACAAGCTTCATTTTCACTTAAACCACTAAGAGATCCATGTGAAGTTTTAGAATTAAATACACAATTTAAACATATTCATTGTAAACCATATGAATGTATTTGTACTTCTCTTATATATTTGTATTTTTTAAATTCAACTTATGTTTTGATAATGTACAGACACAACGTAATTTAATTTATATAATATAACGAAGCTAGACAAACACTGACTCAAATTACAAGAGATATAGTTGTATTTTCGAATGCATCGAATGTGATCTTCTGTTTACTTCTCGGTTCGTTCATGAAATCTAAATCTGCAATATATTAGATTCTACATTAAACTTTCATGTGAATTTACTCTATTTTCTATAAAAAAAAAAACATTTTCTCTACTTCTGCGCATAACTATTGATCAGTCTTGTGGTCTCACAAATAAATAATTGAAAATATTCGATGTTCATTTCAAGAAATATTTAAATTTTGTTTAAAACTTACGAAGAAGTAAAGAATATATTTTTCTGTATAACAGATGTTACGATAACAATTGAGAACATCACTAGTACTAAATTGTCGAAAGACTAAATTCCTTTTAACTGACGAGAGAATTCCCTCCACTGATTAATTACTCTTGAGTCGAAACTATGTGCATTATATAGATTCAAGTGATCTATGAATATTCTGAAAAGAGTTCGTGATCTTAATTTATTGCTGCAGACATATTGCCTTTCTATGATATTTTTTTTAAATGAATTTCAAATTTCGATTTGAAATTTTGTCTAGAGACAGGTCTTAACGAAAATAGTACTTCTAAATCGATATTAAATTTACGAACTTATACAAGCGATGTAAAAGACACGCTAATATCATAGTTGTATCCTAGAACAGCGACAATGAGAAAATCTGAAACATTCATCAAAAATTATTTTCATGAAGGCATGTCTCTATGAAAAGTATAAAGTCGAAATTCGATTTTTATTGTTACCACTGTATTTATGTAAAAAGTATCGTAAAAGTGCTGCATCTCCGCAGCAATCAGCTAAGGGTACGAAATCTTTTCAGAGTATTCACACCTCATCTGTATCGGCATAATGTATATAGTCTCAAGATAAAAGCTATTGAACAGTTGGTGATCTTCCGTTGCCGGTGAAACCAAGAAAATCAGAAAGAATTCGGGCCCAAGTATTACCCAGCCCCGGTTATGATCGTTTTAGTAGGTTTTCAGCCATTAAATCATCGATTCATGGAAAACTCAGTTACAAGATTCTCATTTGAAATGTTCCCCATAGACAGATCCTATAGTCACTAAAACAAACTCAAATTTTCAATTCAAATGAGTGTATATTTCTTGAGATATCGAATATCTAAGACAATTTGATTCTTGGATAATAGATATGTTAAGAAGAATACACTCAATTGAGCTGAAATTCTCAGAATATTCTAGTGTTCGTGAGATCTGTCTATGAGCTACGTTTCCAGTGAAAACCTTATCATTAAGCTTTTCATGAACTGCTGGCTCAAAGGCTCACTGAAACGGTCATAACTTTAGCTGGTAAACGCATGAACCTAAAATTGTTTTAAGATTTTCTTTGCTCCATTGAGCACTATTCATAGCCAAAAGAAATGGAGTCGAACGACATTTGACAGTTGTGTGTGTTTTTTTCCGTTAACTTAACAAAAGCAATATACTTAATTAAAACTTTAATTACGCGTATTAGATTTTGTTGACGTCATTAATTTATATTGATGTCGTTGTTTTTCTTTTATTTTCTTTAATCATAACAAATGATTGACGTTAATGCGGTGGTTTTCATATATAATTTTTTAATATTAAATAAAACTTCGAATGAGAAAGTGTCATGACATTTTAGTAAAACGTTTAAGTCTATGAAGTGCAAGCTTCTAACACTTGACTAAGTATTAAATAAATTTATAACAGGTAGATAGTGAAAAACGAGATAAAATATTTTTCTCATTTTTGGTCACTTTCCAAGACACTAGAGACTTCATCTTAGACTCATTTGCTAGAGAATTTCCAGCTCTATAAAACTACTGTCTTTGTTTTTCAAATAATTTCTTTGCTATCGGCGCAATATTTACCAGATCAACACTTACTCAATCATCCAACTGCAACGGTCACCAAACGAAAAAGATTTCGTAAAGGTTTCGCTGAAACTTCATACGTACTACAAGTACCTTTGCAAAATTCTGTATCTTTTTATATATATTTCAGTATTTTCTAAGAAATATATGCAAGAAAGTTTTTGAAGTAGAAACTGAAGAAACCGAAGAAAGCCTTTTCTAACAGGATTAGATCATCGTTCTTTTTCTAATCGTCCTACTCTTCAATTTAATAATCATACCGTTTTGTGTAGAATTAAATTCGACATTCGACTGCATAAGAACAAACATGTCATAGACCAAGTCTCGCTTTAGAAGAAATGATGGTTTTCTATAATGCGTCTCAAAACACCATCAAACATTGATTCAAAACCTTTTCTTTTGAACAATAGCAGCAGATAGCACGAAACTTTCTATACATTAGTGTCAAATATTTTACTGTTAGTAGTGATCCTAACGCAAAGCGATAGATACCTACAGAAAATAGGAAGCTAAAGTTAGACGACTGAGTAGATGTTGATCTTCTAAATTTTGTGCCTAAGAAAAAAATTTATTTGAAAAACAAAAGCAGTAGATTTATAAAGCAGAAAATTCTCTATTGAAAAAGTCTAAAACGAAGTCTCTAATATTTTTTCAGTTAGTTGAAAGGACACTCTTTTACTGTGTAAACTATATATATAATGTCACAGCGTTTTTACGGTGATATATTATCCAAAATACTCGTTGACAAAAATAAATCATTTTCTAGCTAAAAAATAAGAATCACTCTCTCATCGTTTAAATGCTATATTATGCATGTTATAAATAATGATTCGTTCATGAATACACTTATGATTTTTTACAATTTGATATCTGATAAACGATTATCAATGTTGGTCGATATCTAATCAAACCAATGAGTAATTTTCATTTTGTTTTCGAAATATTTATCTAAATAAATGGAAATTAATCCGTTTGAAATATTTCGAAAACTGAATGGAAACTTAGGTTAGATATCAGCAAAAAATTGATTGCAAGCTGTCGTATAACACATTGTTTTTTAAACATTTTTTATACTCTTTGTATATAGTTGAAAATTTGTCGATCATTTAAAAATCTGAAGTTGCCGAGCAATCTTTATCGAATGAAGAAATGAATGTGTTGCTTGAATTTATGTGATCTTTCCTTCTCTAATGAGTCGGCAATTAGTAGTAGAAAATTCCGATGCAGCTCTGTCATGTTAGGAAATATTACAGAGCCTATAGTTTCTCATCTCATTTGAACTTCAAACATAATTAAGAATTCAGAATTTCAATGTGATCATCATTCACAATTTGAACTGAACAACCTCATTATATATGGTTTTTTCAGTATCGTGATTTTCGTAAAAACATTTGATCATGATTGATTGATGTGATATAAGCAATACGTGCATTTTTGCTTATTATCAAAGGATCAAAGTTTTTATATAAATAAAAATACAATGAATTATTTTCTTTTCCAAATAATTCATCAGATAAAAAAGACAAATGAAAGCTTCAAACGATTTGACTTTCTTTCACGTGCACTCAAATACAATAAAATTACAAATTCACAAAATTGCAAATAATGAATAGAATAAAAGTTCTAACAAGAAAAGAATTAAACTAATATGAATATTTACAGTAGTTTTCAGTGGAAAAAAGGATCATGATTATAAACGTGTATACAATATCAATCACGCTTTGAAACGTCAAGAAAAGTGCTGATCACTTTTTTGTCGTTTACCATTATTTTTCAACTAGAACGAGCGAATGCGATCGTATCAACGGCATATTAACCGCTTTGCTTCTTCCTATGTTGGGAATGGTTCTAAAAACAAGGAACATATATTGCCCTGTTTACTATGAAATACCTGTTATTTCGAAAGATTTCTGGTTAGTAATGATTAATAGTTCTTTGTACATTATTCTGATATGATAAACAATTTAAAACAAAAAAAAATGATTCGGTTTCTTTTGAAGATTTATTTTTATAAATCCAGTTACAAAAAAACAACAGACAAATGATATAATTTTATTTTATTTATATTTAACACGAACTTCTTCGTTTAATTGTGGTTGAAACATGTCTTGAATCATTTTCTTCTTGATTTCTATTTGACTTGTATCGAGACCAGCTTCACGATATTGTCTTTCAGCTGTTTTGAGATATTCTAAATTCAATCGAGGAAATATTTGCCATGGTTCCATATCAAGCATTTCATCAATATCATTTTGTTCTCGATAATAACCCCAATAGAACTAAAAATTTTAAAAAATGTTCCCTTATAGTTCTGTTTTACAATATAAACAAACCATATTAATTAAAACAGTAACAATTAATACTGGTCGTGTAAATTTTCCAATATGACGATTAAAAACTATTGAATCAGCTGTATCCCAATATTTAGCACGACTAGTTGAAAATTTAATTGGTTTATCAAATTCTCGACGTAATTCTCGTACATGTTCTTTAGCGGCTTCTTTTATTTCTTGTGTTACCTTTGGTACAACTGATGATGTATTTTTCAAACGAAAGAATACAATATTAATCAAACGCTTTGATATATTAGATTTAATGGGTGATATATATAAATTTTGCATCTATAATTTAAATAAATAATGTTTTTTTTTTATTTTAAAAAAAATTAAAAAGATGCTCCCAATATATCGAGAAAACAAGAGATCATTATTAAATATCATACACAAGACTGTTCAATATTTTTCACATTTCACTGACATCTTTCGTCTTACATAGCATCTCTAATTTCCCTACATTTATGAAACTAGTAAACAAAAAAACTAATAAAACTTCATTTTGATTTATTCAAAATGATCATAAGATGAAATACAATCCCAAACCTAAAAAAATAGAACACATCTCAATAACTATAATACGTTATTTTATGTTAATCTACTTTTATTTTGGCATCAGCAGCACCTGACATAATATGCCGAGCATTAGCATGTAACGCTGTTACTTCAGCTTCATGTCGATCATCATATTGTACTTGATCGAATGTATCCATCGACCATACTCGAATTGTTTGATCACTTGATGCACTTATTAAATTCGATTTATTGAAATTATCAGCACTAAGCATGCAAAGGCCATGAACAGTTGCTTCATGTTGACAAGTAGTCTCTAAACAACGATTAGCCCGAATATCCCAAATCTATCAAAAGAAAAACAAAATTAAGCAAGTCTTATAAAGTTTTATTTGTTTGGAAAACTTACATAAATAGTACCAGATAATGAACCAGCAAAAAGTAATGCATCTGAATGAGCTAAACTATAGATTGAATCATTTGTTGGTAATTCAAATTCAAATGATATTTGATGTGTCATTGCATCAAATACCTAAAAAAAACAACAAAATTTAATATACAAAAAAAAAGTAAAGGTTACGATTTAAGTGGTCAGTTAAATAGATGAAATAGTCAGTATTTGAAGAATCAGTAGAAACAAACGAATTTGATCAATAAAAATTCAGATTATGTTAGAAGAGGTTTTTTATTCGTATAGAATAAAGTGTGATTTCCAATAGGTTTTCACTTCATTCACATTCTAATGATTATCGTACTCATCATACTTGCTCAGCCTTAAGGCTCAACACTAGAGATGTGCGGTTCCAGTTCCGGTCTAAGCAAGTTCTCTTTCTTATGATTTCGATCACGCACATCTCTATCCGCAATGCTTGGCTTTGTTGCATCTGTAATAAACTCTTCTGTTGTTTTCTGTAGAGTACAAACAATGTTTTGAGCATTCGTTTTCAACGGAATTCCGAGCTGGTTTGCCGTCTATAGAGTGTAAAACGCTCTCAACTCAACACGTGAAGATCGAAAAACGAAATCAAAACAAATTTTTGAAGTTGAAGTCTATAGAGAGTCTAGAAACACAGAGTGTCTACATCTATGTCCAACATAGATTATCTGTACTACATGGTACAAAAAAGAAAAGAATAAAAATTGAATCACACTCTAACGCATTTCAATTTCTATATTTAGCCTATGATTTAATTGATTATTAGTAACTTTTATTTACTGATCTTTTAATTTAGTAACAAATCTGATTCATCACTGATTAACAATCTAAGTTAATTTACTGATCATTCATTCAATTTAATGTAATGATCATTTCATCTATTTTACTGACCAAATATTTTGCTTCTAAAAATAATTTACTTTAATTACACGTCGACATCCAGCATAAATACATTTATCTTTTTGCATTAAAATTCTCAGCCAACCATTTCGACTATCAGTTTGAATTTCATTTATTAATTCTAATGTTTGTATATCCCATACTTTCAAACATTTATTCGAAGAGCTATATAAATGATTATCATATTGTGTTAATGAACATACAGGATCTTTTGATATTACATATAAAGAATAGAATATTTCAGTAAAAAAAAACAGATCCTTCTTACCCGTATGAGCAACGAATGATGTAGTACGTTTATAATCATTTAAATTCCAAACCTGAAAGAAAAATACTCGACTAGATGATATAAGACATCCGAAATATGTTTTTTTTACGAATATTGATTTATCAACACTACCACTAAATACTGTTTGTTCTTTAATATTTAATGATAAAACACCTTCTTCATGACCATGTAATGTTGCTAGGTTTGTATATGGAGTTTCACGTAAATTCCAAACCTTATTAAGAAAAATGTCTGTGTATAATTCTATGGTTTTATTTTTCTTCTTACTTTAACTGTTTTATCACTAGAACCACTAAGAAGAAGGTCATCTAATGCATATAAACACCAAACCGTATCACTATGTCCTGTAAACGTTCCGTTACAGCGTAAAATAACAGTTGATAATTCATTTTCATCATCACTATCTAATATAAAATAGAGAATAAAAATTCTATGAAAAACGAAGAATTGATAACTGTTAGAATTGGTCTCGTCAACAAAGTTGATTTCTTCGATGTCAAACTATCACACAAAGTGTCTGAAAGTGAGCCCTTATAGAATTAATCCTAGAGCACTTATTTGTGCTGTACACAAGTCAATTGAAATAGCCAATGCCCATCACATGTGCATTGAACTTGACCGTTGATGATAATCAACATTTTTTATCTACCCATCTCATGAGCTAACAGGTCATTTTCATATAGTACTTCTCAAGCGCCTCAAAATGGTATTAAAAAAATATTGATCATTCCAGCAAATCCTAAGAACACTGTTCTCGAGAAAAGTTTATCAAAATATATGAAATACACGTAAGCCCACTGATTTTAAAAAGCTCAAAATCTTGTCTAGAGAACAGGTTTTCTAGGATTTGCGTGAGTGGCCAATGTTTTTTATGACAATTTTGAAGCGCTTGGAAAGTACTATATGAAAACTAGTCGAGTCGTTATTGAGATATGTAGATAAAAACAGTTGACTATCATCAAAAATCAGCTTTATTGTACATGTGACGGTCAATGACTATTTCAATCGACCTGTGTTCAACACAAATAAATGTTATATGGCTAATTCCGCCAGGATTAGTTTTCGGATACCTTGTGTGATAGTTTGACATAGGAGGAATCAAATCTGTCGTGAAGACCAATTTAAATAGTTATCGATCCCCCTCCTATATACCATGATTTCTTAAGGATTCTTGTTCATCTATAGTTGTTGGTATAGGTGATGTCTGTTTAGTTTTCATTAGTTCACTCTAGAAAATAATTTATTTAAAAAAAAAAAATTTAAAATATATACTAATAAGAAATCATTTCGTGAACATAAAGCTTCTTGATTAGTTTTTAACGTATCTAAAAATAATAATAATCAAAATTCATTAAAATTTTAATGAATTTTTCTTTTTTTTACCAATTTCATTTCGTATTGTAGCAACTGCATTTGTAAGTTGTTTACATGTATTTACAAGAATATCAATTTGTGTTATTTTCAATAATAATTCTTGTTGAAGTATTTGTAATTGATCATTATTTATATTTGTTGTTGAATTTAATTGAGATATTTGTCGATTTGAACATATATGTAGATGATTATAAATATCCTAATAATCTTTTCTTTTTATGAAACTATTCATTTGTTGTTTTCTGTAATTGAATAAATATATTTACTCACTTTTTGACGAAGATTATTGAGAAGACAACCATTTGGACAAGAAACAAATCGATAAATACATTCATCTTCATGCTGTCTAAATTGAAAAATAAATTTTCTTAGAGTTTGTTTTCATATTAATAACTATTCATTTGTATGATTTAAAATGGATAGATCAGATTTTTATACATTATAACTAACAAAATATTTCCTCAAAAATAAATATTATAGCATTGAAAGAACAATTACTTTTTTTTTATCAATGGAATTTTTACAGGACAACCATGTTCATCACGTTCATTTTTAAAATTACTATCAGTTATTTTAGGTTTTATAAATGCATATTTACACCAAACAAGTAATGAATCGATTTGTTCAGCAACAATATGATTACTAACAAATGGTTGAAGAATTTGTTCATCATAGGGGCATAAAACTAAGACAAAACTTAGATTTAAATCAACAAGACATAACATAAATCGCCTACTTGTTGTAGAAATACATTTTCGACAAAATGTGTGCTATAAAATTCAATTGGATAAACATTAAAAATTAATATAAATAAATAAATAAATAACTCACTCCACATTGTGTGATAATAGGGTCTCGAAATACTCGATGACAAATCGGACACTTTAAAGCTGAATTAGATTGTTCATTGGTATATATAATATCCTCCTGTGATGAATACAGTACATTTTTTTGTAGATTTGTCTCAGCCATTGAATCAGATCTAGAGTTCTCTCTGAGATATAGATACATTCAAAGATCTTATTATTATGTTTTTTTTTGTTTCTTTATATCTGTTGTTTTTTTTTCACAAGCATGATAAATTCACTGTTATCAAAGGAAAACAGAATATAATGAATAAATAAGGAAATGTTTTAGTTACTCCAACAAATAAATATGCATCACAACAGATATGTATATATAAGTATATATTAAAAATCGAAAATTAAAAATTGAATAAATTTGTTTTAGTTTTGCTAACTCGATGACAAACCAATTGTTTGAAGAGTTTCACCATTGAAAAGAATTGGTTGTTTTGGTAAACAAGTGGAACGGATACCATTTGAGGAATGATGAACTGGCATATTGCACGGTGAAGAATCAGGTTGCTAAAATAATTTAAAGAGTAAATTATTTTAAATCTCTATTGTTTACAAAAAGAAACGTTCTATCGCAAAATCTAATTAGACAGAAGAAACAAAAACTTGTACATGTAAGAATAAAAACGGAGACTTAACATGTCATTGAGCATATAATAGAGTTTGTGCAACACTCGCATTCTAAAAGCAAATATCGCTCGTCTTTTGGCGGTAATACGATTATCATATCAGCTGTTAAACTCTATTGTAAGAAGTTTAAAAAAAACAATCTTCATCAAAGCTTTGTGAACTTCATTGTAACGAGAACTCTATAAACATAAATTATAGTGCTACAACCATGAGAAAAAAATTTCTCGGGTTACCGTACGGGTGTGGTACACATGTTTGATATATGAAACTTTTTCATTCTATAGTGCAAACAGGAAACATTAAAGAGTTCAACGAAATAAATTTAGATAATTCCAGTAGCTTTGCTGGAATTAATATACAACCAAATAACGATGAACTTAAATGTAAAACTCATTTTTTTGTTTGATTTAAACAGATGAAAATCAGGACACAATAAGTATTACAAATACATCGCATTAGTGACGTTTATGCATCAAAGAAGAATTAGAAGTGGTTGTTTCTATTAGGGCCATCGAACAGAGAAAACTTTTTCATCAGCGAAAATTTGCAATAATTTTCAATAACTTTATTCATTCCTGAAATAGGATTTGGTGAACTGATTCCAGACTTGAACTCGACTGGGATTTTGGATCCAACAGGCTCTATTGTATAAATAAAGAATAGAAACTCAAAAAAAGAAATCACACCTTCTATTTCCATATGTTATCTCAATTCTCTACAACTGACATTTTGTTCTTCATTGAAGAAAAAAAATCATTTATACGATTTTATTATCGTAAAATATAATCTTAATAACTGTGCAAAGCCATCTTTGATCGGTATTTAATTTTTTATAATAGGAACATTGATCAAGAAAAAGAAAAAAGTTTACCTGAAAAAGTTCTATAAATGCTATGAGACTCATTGAAAGAGCCCGAATACTTTTTAATCGTTGTTCAGCACTATCGCAATAAAACAAATAATAACAACAAAATTCAATTGCAATTTCATTTCTTACTTCTCCTTTGTACATAATTTATTTTTAACAATACCATTACGAATTGTCTCACTTATTTTTTCATCGAACAAAGGAATACCAAATCTAGAACAAATAAATATCTATTAGTCAAATGCCAACTTTTAGAAGTTTACAGATGACTTTTGGCTACAAAAAAAGAAATGTGCAGGTTTCTAGAGAAAGACTTTGTCTAATAGTATGTGCCTTATCCAGTCCTACTACGTACTGTGAGCACGCCGACAGGTGGCTCTACCTTCACAGCAATTAGAGTAGCATGCAATGAAAGTGACGTCACTTTATTGACATACTAACGATGCACAGTACACCTTGATATTGCATACATCATTAAACACAGAAAGTTTTTCTCTACAAGCCTAAATGTATCCCGTTCTACAATCAAAACCTTATAGCAGAAGTGCTCATTGCGGCTACAAATCTGACGCTGCCGCACCGCAGTTCTAGAAGAGACAAGGCTACCGCTTTCGGGATGGTTGCAACGCCTCTGCCTTATAGTCGCTTTTCAATGTATTCTGTTGTATTTTTTTACCTAATATCTAATAAAACTTCTTGAGCATTCGTTGATGATAGTGTTAACATTGATACATAACCACAGGTGCTGTGTAAATCAAGAGCTGAACCTAATTGTTCTAATTCATTATGCTTTTCAGTTGATTCAAATGGAAATGGTATATGTCGAATTTGTTGATTATCATCTTTAAAATTATTATTACCATATGAAAAACCTTGTAAAAGTACAGATGAATGAAGTAATGCTTCATTAATACTTAATAAAATATTAACACTTGATATATATGTTGGTTCGTGATTCCATGTTGTAACAAGAAATTTATCAAAAATTTTTAAACAATTTGGTAATGTATTTAAACGATAACCTTTTGGTAAAAGTAATGATGGTGGCCCAGATTTTGTTAAATTATAAATAAATAATTTCATCCATACACTATTCATTTCTTGTAAACATGGTCCTAAATAATCAATTGAATCAAATGGTGAATAAATTGTTTCTGCACTAACAGGTGCCATCGATATTAATATATGATAGTTACGTTCGATTAAACGTTGACGAATATTTGAATCAAGACTTGATAAACTTTCATAACGAATTAAATCAATACCAAGACCACCAATATCATCATCAAATAAATTATTATTTAAACGTAAAAATGATATGGTTTGATAAAGTACACGTGCATGTAAAAAATAACGATCAGCTTCACCTTCACTTTGACTATCGTCATCAGAAAATTTTATTGATGATTGTGATGTTGGAGAAATTTTTTCTAATTCTTGTAAAAATGAAACAAGTATTTCATCAGCTAATTTACCGACTTCAAACATTGTTACAGCATGAGTTTTTAAATTTGGTGATAAATTACCCATCATTAAAAATGCTGTTAATGAAGAATCAAATAAAAAACCAATACGTTTTTGTTTTAATGTACCACTAACAATAGATGTTGAAGGATTATCAAGTAAATTAGTATTTGTTGGAGATAGCAAAGGTTTCTAAATAGAAATAAAGTTTAAAAAATATTTAATAGTTTATTCATAATCGCAAAAAGTTCATAAAAGGATTGTTAAAAAAATCTATCGAACTCATCAGAATTTTTTTCAATTCTTATGTAATACAATTCACAAGATTTTCTCTTATTTCTTCCAGATTATAACTTTTAATAAGATTTCCAATATGTTGTGTTCTATATTAGTTTTTTCTAAAAAGAACTAAAGTAAAGAAAACAAAGAATTCCTCAATACCTTCAAATTTTTTCAAATGTACACTGAAGCAAAACAATATCATCGAACGTAACCGTCTCGAAATCATAACTGACTTTTTATGAGACATAAGAAAAATATGTAATCATGAAAATCGTATTCACGTTACAGAATTTCTCATTATCAAGGAAACTACAAAAACAAACTTCGTGTTAAACAGAAACCTTTCTTACGAAAATCATTGCCCATAGCCATGATGAGGAGGAGTTTAATAGTCGATTTTAAATTGATTAGTTCATTATACTCCACATTTTTAACAGATAACAAAAGCTTCTTTTTGTTTACAACGAGTCTTAATAATAAAATTCTTGAGGAATATGTTTCACTAGGATTGGTGAGCGATTGACGTAAGAAAATTGTAGTACCGAGAAGTTACGTACGCAAAAAGAAGTGATGGTAAAGAGTTTAGGTCTGCTAATGAATAAAGAGAATTACTAACATCCACACACATTCATTTATCTTTCAATAGACATCACAGTTACCTTCATCTTTTGGCGTACTTAAATTTTTGATGCTGCCATTCTCTTGCTTATCGTTTCGGTTCTCGTTTTGTTTTCTTTACAATTCCCTGTATGAATTCACATCATGCTAGAGATGAAACCGATCTACCGGTAGATCAGTCGGTCTGAAATCCATACCGACATTGGACTGACGAGTTATCTTAGTATTCCATTTGTGGATAGTGATTTTTGACAGTCAACTTTCAACAAAGTTTCATTACATATCCTCTATTAGATAATAAGAGCAATAAATCGATACGACACATCAGTACTCTCACTGTATCATATTACTCATATTTAATTAATATTCAAAGCAACACGTTTTTCAATTTCATGAATTTGATTTTCTATCTTACTTGTTCATCTGTTGTGCTAGTCGATATGTTGTCATCTCCACTAAATGATGTATCCATTTCTAAATCGGTTTTCCATTCTAATAAACTTTTATCCATTGTTGGTGATGTTATTGCTATTTCTTTTGGTGGTGGTGGTGATTGCAATTTAGCACCTGCAGAAAAATGTTTCCATGACGTATGAATAACGCCATGATCACTATCTAAACTTTTCTTTCTTGCAAAACCTAATCTTAAAAACATTGACATTGTTTGTTTAACTAAATCAATATCTAATGTTAATATTCTTGACAATTCTCCAACATTTGTATGTTCATCTGTTGAAACAAATAATTTATAAAGTAATACTTCAAAATAATCTCCAACAATGCGATTCATAACAAATCCTGAACCTAATGGTGGTACTTGAATATAATCATTATCTTGAACAGGTACATCCAAATAAATTAAACCTTTACGATAAAGTGCATGTACTGCATCATAATTAAGTTCACCGGCTAATTTCGAAGATTTTTCATCAATAAGATAATCAATTATTAATTTTTCTTCATTTGTACATTGTTTAACATCATCATCAGTAACACAACCTAAATTAATAACCCACCATGGTTGAATATATACGGAATCAACAGGTTGTAATGGTAATAGATGACGAATTGAAGCTGGTGTTTTCCAATTTGTTAAACTAAGAAACATTTTTTTTCTTGCCGTTTGTAATATTGTACGTGATTGATTTATTAATTCAATATATTGATTACGACCAATACCAAGTAAACGAAGACAATCAGCAGCTTGAAAGAAAAAACAAATTTCTTTTTTTATAAAAATACAAAATGAAGATTTTTTATTTTGTTTACCAGTAAAATTTGGTAATGTATCATAAGACTTTTCTTGCAGAATTAAATCACTTATCATATCTATATAATATGAAAATGGTGTTATACGTAAACCTTTAACATAAATTTCTGATAAATGATAAGGCTATAAATTCGAATAATAAGTAATGGAAATATTTAAAAAATAAATATTAACTTACAAAAAGCATTAAATGTTCACGACTGTAACGTAAAAGATCATCATAATATTTTCTAGAATCTTTATGAACTTTTCGAACTAAATAAAAATTGATTTGGAACATAATTTTAATGTTTTTTTCTTTGTTTTGCTATTTTAAATACCTAAATTTCCTTTATAACGAAGTTGATGCTTTATTGAAAATGTTAATATCGCTTTATCATAATCTTTTTCTGTATTCCAACCGAACTTCTATTGAGAAGACAAAAACAAAAACGGAGATTTAGAATACACAATAAGAAAATATAGAATCACTTGTTTAACGTCGACTGGAAGATGAGTCCATTCAACATTTGTTCGAATGTAATGTTCGTCTAATTGAGTCGTCATGTAAGGATCATTATCGGTACAACGAACTTAAGCACGTAACAGTTTTCTTATTGATCTTAGCCGATCAATGATTCATTGATAAAATCGAACCATTGGATTAGCTGTGAAATAGTATTCGATAGATGTCCTTCTCAGACAGATTACATTTAAAAGCAGAAGACTCCATGTGAACAGCACTCAACTTATTTCTAATCAATGAAGTATGAACAAGACTACTGATGAGTGTAAACTATCGTGTAACAGTATCTTCTTTTTCTATTTTATTCAACATATTTTTCTGCAAGTGACTGATTAAAACTTCATTAGAAATTTTTCATTTGAAATTTCAACAATGATCCATTTCTATTAGACGCAATTGGGAAACACCTGAAATCCGATATTATTTTTTATTAGACTGATGTTTTTGATTATATTAGATTTGGTAAATAACATATTTTTAACAACATTCACACATGCCTACTATTTTTTTGTTTATATTCAGTATAGTTCAAATAAGCTGAGAGTTACTCAAATGATATTTTTTTGGGCTTGCAGATTGAGAATCGTGTTGATCGCGATACTTAACATGAATCTTGCCTGAAAAATGCTCGATACATGCATAGCTATTTTATTAGATCACAATGAGAGTACTTCAAAACATCTAAAAATCTTGTAACAATATCGAAATATTATTTGACATTCTAACTCAGGTTAAATCGAGAATGTTCATGATGAGCATAAGAATGAAACAGTGCAATAAATCTACACTTGAGACTATATATTCAAAAGGACAGAAAGCGCTATCATAATTTCTCTACTAAGATGTGCTTCAGCGCTCTGATGAGGTCTATCATCTATCACGTGTTAACAACAGCAAGCCATTTGCTTATATGCAAATTATGTTTGTCTACAGATCAAAATATGACTGAACAATGTGTTTTCATCGCTTCATGAACTCGCATAGCACGAAACAACACCAGTGTCCGAGGATAAAGGCTGTAGTAGGAATTTTCACAGAGATAATACGAAATTCGATAGTCTTTGATACCGTCAGGCTGGGTATTAGCGGAGAATTTTCAATTTTGAGTGCAAATATGCATCATCCCTCAACATTTGCGCGGACAGACCATCAGACCCTGCTCATTTGAGACAATAAAAGGCTCTGATTTTGGAGCATGTCATATCTTTTGTATATTTTCAATAAAAACTTAGTTTTTTGAGCAAGAAATAAAGGTGTCAATATAGATAGTGATGCATCTTTGCCATCGGAAGATGAAAAACAATATTTTATCATATTAGCTCGACATAATTGTCGATAAAAATACATTGTTATTATATCGTTCGCCGTCCATTACTTATCCATTTCGCGAAGTTATTGTACGTAATTCTTATTCGATTTTATAATATAAAATGAATTGTTGCCTAAAGCATATTTTTCTATAATCTATATTTGTATTATAGTAGCATAGCGGGATGTCTTATATCTGCTCATATGCAGCGAAATGATTTTAATCGAGAGGAGACTCAACATTTTTCCCTCGACAATGATGGGAGATGAGATAAAAAAATCCTACAAATTTCTAGTTTTGTAATCATCACTCTATTGAAAGCATATTTCTGTCCTTGCTCGGTTCAAAACTTGAAAAATGATGACAAATTTCAGTGCAATATTAACTTTTCTACCGCATTATCAGCACGTCAATAAAATGCTTAAATATAATCTAAAGTGAATAGAACGAGCAGAGATAAAAGCACTATTTACGACTAAAAAACACTTTTCTAGTCTGTTTTTTTTTAAATCAAATTAAATGAGATACTGTTCAAATTCAGTTTGTCTAATTTTCTTTTATGAATATGACGAATAATGACATGATTTTGACATCGTTGTATCATACTTGATCGTAGATACGTATGTCTTTATTCGATTCATAAGGCGAAAAGGTTTTTCAGCCTCAGCCGTTGTTACGAGAACTGTCAAATATAAATGTATCAGTATACTGAATTCACAGAACATAGCTTTTTCAAGAGATTGTACATTGAAAATATTAAGGATAGTTTGAATTTTTGAATTTTTTTTTGTACCAAGATTAATATCTAAGTTAATAATCGAAAACTGATTATCTAATATGTTTGCTTCATGTTAAAAATAGAGAACGCAAAAATCATCAATTAAATAAATTGATGAAATGTTTCAACTAACTGCACTAACTGCGTGATTATTAGCAGTTACATCGGTTGCTTGTTTTTTTATTATGAAAAAGCTGTCGTTGGACACTATGTATCATACATTTTGTCTGTCACAAGACTACTGCTCGTTTGCTATTTCAAACGCCTTCTATAAAACTAAGGCAGAAAAAAACTGTTATGATCGATAAAGATACATCGGCGCCGTAGGCGAGTTGAATCGGTTGACTATTCTTCTCCATTGACGAGTCACTATTAGTAATAGATCAATATGTTTCAAAAAGGACAGTCGTACACACTGGCTATCTAATGCCTGACTGAATGTTATCTTCAGAAAAATACGAGACAACTCTGGTTCAAAGAGATCTCTCTAGCAAAATATAAACTCGGGATAACATCTGTAATATGTTTTCAAATATGTGAGCATTCGCAAGCGCAGAGACTCAGTGATTAGATTCGATGGTCGGAGATCTGCCTTCAAATTTCTACCATTTTCCGAAGTTTCACAGTTGGAAATGGACCGGATTTCTTGACCTGAGTGTAGAGTGCACTAGTCACAGAATACAAAAGAAAATAAAAAAAAGTGTCTTGTATTTCTGAACTACTACTCATTTCCTATTAGAAAATTTCATTAAGAATATGAAAGTACGATTCGACTGGGTCCGGGTTCGAAAATTTTTGAACCCGACTGACTATATTGTTAATTCTATTGTAATTGAATGGATATCATTCCACGTGAACTTCCATGGAGCGGAAGTGAAATATGTTTAGAATGTGGAATAAAATTTACCATAACAAATTAAAGACATCATTAATTTATATTTTGTTCTTCTTTCTAATGTGTTTTCTTAATAAATTTGTCATTTTAGTCGATATTGTGGTTGAGTTTTATGTAAATGATGTTCTCTAAACGAGTTACCAATTATGAAATTATATTGATAAAAACCAGTGAGAGTCTGTCAATTATATGCACTGATATATGGACTCATGATGTTATGACTGCTCGATGAATTAAGATGTGTGTAAATAAAGTGAAAAAGATCTGATTTTATATGCTCATGCAAACTTCATGAAATTCTTTTGTTCAAATCATAATTTTATCAGTAAAATTTCACTAATCAAGGTATGATAAAAGTGTTTTATTTTTGTTTTGTTTATTTCCAATGTTGTGTTTAATTGAATTTCATGAATTGATGTTCTTTTCTCTAGAGATATTTTATTTATAACAAAGATCTTAATATATTATTACTATTGTCAATTATTTTAATATAATCAACTCATTTTTAATATGTAAGAAAGTTTTCTTAAGTCATTCTGATTTTCAATTGTTGTGCAGTTTCATTTTAGTGGCATTTCGAATAGTAACAATGCGAATATGCTAAAGAAAATTATTGTCATATTCAATTGATTTAAGAATAAATTTATGAAAATATTGAGGCTGCTTTTTTTTCAAATAAATCATCATTATTCTTTTAAACACTGCACCAATAACCGATGTTAAAGGTGTTGTATTGAATATTATTTCAGAATTAAAATTTTTTTTTCAGCGTTACATGTCTTCATAATATTCAGGCCAACAATTTCAGCGTCCGAATCCGTGAATTTCCTACAGACTACCACCGGAAAGACATCATTTCTGGTCGAAAGACTGCGGAAAATGATAGGAACTTGGAAGCAGGAATCCAATGATCGGATCCAATGGCCTTATTTTTCTAGTTTCAGTCGTAACTAGACATAACGGATCATTGAAATCTAGCATGCAGGATACGCTTCATCTAGGGCTGGCCCGAGCAGACCAAGAGTGGCATCTTCCTAATAATTTGAAATGTCTTATTTTTCCTAGTTACAAACTCGAAAGACAAACATATAGTAGGGGTTCGCTAACTTTTCTTAAGAGACGAAAATAGATGAACTATTTCTCTAACAAACTATAAAAGACTTTTTTGAATGCCATCGCGGCACCTGCAACTTCTCTAATCGTTCATCTCGGTGCGTCGGTGACAGGTCTATAGTTGCGACCGGCAATTCTGATATAAAGCACAATCAACATTGTTTTCACTTTGTGAAATGGAACAACGATACAACAATAGTTCATGAGGAAATATTCTCAACTATCCGACCGCTTGTCGTTTGGAGCTATTGCCATTCGATGGGGAGTGATGAGTAGTAAAAAGAAAACCTTTTTGGCGGATGCAGGTGTGGCTAACGTCTGGTAGTATGTGCTGATGAGCATGGGTGACGACTTTCTTTACATCCACTCATCATGCTCTAAAATCGAGCTGAGCGTAGATATAGTATGGATCTTGTCTTCACCAGTACCAACATACACACTCGCATCCTTTCTGTAAAAGTCTTATCTAATGAAAATATTGCTTATGTCTGTTTTTTTCCATGCAGTTTTATTATAGAACTATAAATGTCTATTCGAGACTGAAGACATAAAAAGAAAAGAAAAACAAATGAATATATTCATGACGGATCTACTTGATTGTTGAAGGAACAGAATATGGTAAGAGTTATCAAGAAACACAAATGGACAAAATAAAAATGAAATACCATTGTTTTTAAATAATAGCCGTCAATCGTGTTTGAAGAGAACGAGAACAATATAAGTTTAAGTGCCTTTGTCGTCAAATGCATACGTTATAAAAAAATTCCAACTTTTACTACGAATAAAACAATTAACATTCCTTGACAACCTATACAAGAAGTCAGTAGTGACAAAATAGAATCTGGGCTAAAAGTTTAGTAAAGTATTGTGAGGACAATAAACAAGCATGCACTATATTTTTCTCCTCAAAAATAATATTCGTCAATGAATTGAACATATGATAAACGAATGTAATGGCTTAATTATGGATAATTAGAACTTCTGCTAAGAATTTAAAAAATCACTTTATGAATAATCGTTACAGGGAAAAACGGTAACCGAGTTCTGATTTTGGCATTTTTTTACCTGTAACTTTTCCAATCTTCTCAAGAGCCTTTAATCAAAACAAGCTTGTTTTATTTATTGGTGATTGTCGCATTTGTTATACGCCTGTGTCTTTCTCTCTAAAATTCAAGTACATACTGCTACGTCATAGTCGTAAAATTTATCTCAAGAACAGCCCCTTTTGGGCGATATATTTTTGAGAGCGACGTCACGAGATCTTCTCTATATGTTGTCCGACTTGTATTTCTCAAAAAGGTTTTCTGACTCAAAATAGAAATCTAGTCATGCATTTAACTTTTTCATTCATTTTCAAAACAGATACAATTTTTTCTGTGTGATAATTCTTAGGCAAATAGCTATTTAAATCAGCATATAGCCATTTAGAATACGCACAACAAATTAAAATTATCAAGAGTTATACAAACTTTTGTACAACTATTTAAACACTTGCATAGCTAATTAAAGTCATCAATATCTATTGAAATTATTCCATAACTATTTAAAGTTGTACACAGTTATTTTAGCTTTTCAATGGTATTCAAAGTGTTTGAAAGCTATTTGAGCAAAACTGCTGAGTAATTTGCTATCATCATTACTGTACATGGTGAGCAAGGGATCAAAAAAAAACAAACTTTGACAGTGGGTAAAGTTTTTCAGACGAGGAAAAAAAATGAAGAAACCAAAAATATAACCAAGCTGAGGATGAGAAAACCAATCTATATTTAATGCTATTGTAAATTGTGCGGTTATTTGATATAGTTAATAACTGCTCTGCAATAAGTTTCGCCACAAAAAAAACTGCATTCTTAATGCGCCAAGGAAGCGATTCTTCTCCTCTTGCATACTATTTATTTATCAACGTTTCTTCATTAACTTGAACCAATATGCAATTTATTTTTGACCTTTTTCTGCCAGTTTAGTCTTTTACAATTTTAAGACAAATAGTATGAGCAAAATTGCTAAGTAATATACTTTAATTTTTATTGTATATGGCATAGCATTTTGAAACGTTTACTATTTCTCATCAATAATTTTTGACTTGAAAGACTGCATTCTCAACATGATTATCAAGTAACGCTCCTCCTCTGATCTTCAATTTATTTATCGATATTTCTTTGACAGTTTCGACTTATTTTCAACTCTTTTTTACTTTTCTCTGATAACACTGTACTGCATATCATACTAGGATATGGAACTATTCAAATAAATTAGCTTTCGAAACATAAACGACAACGGTTCTGGAAGTAATTTTATCATGAGCCGGCGACAATACTCAAAAGATTTTGAATAGCCTAGAGCATTTCATGGACCACAATTTCGCTCTACCTTGAAAGTAGTTGACTTTCAATACTTGGCTAAACTGTAGAGTGATTCGAATTCAATAGATGGCTGTCCAAAGTTACAAAATAGCTGACTGCAAGCTCAGATAGCTATGACATTTTAAACAGCTACATGTTTCATTAACATGTATCCGTCTTCAGAAGCTCGAATCCTAGTTCTTGTGATCAAATAGTCATTCCATCACTTATTCACGTTTCACTATTGACCAAACCGTTAAAATACGACTCAAATATATAGAATGAGATTCCATAATCTCTAGATCTATCTAGAAAAAAGCCTATTCTTCAATATGAACGAGCAACATGATAAAACAAAATCACACACCGAGATTCAATGTAATTCACGAGATGCTTGGAGAATTTATCAAAAAAACACTTCTGTTCATCTATCAATTGATTTCCATAAGTTTTATTCAATCTAATATTTGTTATGAGATTGCACATTGGTTATTTAAAAAAACTATTCAATTGTTGAGTTTTCATGATTTTATTGTATGTTCAGTTTTAAAAGTAAAATAACCCNGTCATCTGACTTGTTGACATTATGCCAGTGGGCAAGGAATTCTCAAAAGATGAGAAAACTATTATTTACCGTGTGATCGCATTCGTCGATTCCGAAAAGAATGGACCAAAGATTCCGATGTACAACACCAATGATCGCCTTCAAGTCATGCTAGGTCTTTCTCGTCATTCAATTTCTAACTTGCGACAAGAAATGCTCCAACTTATTGAAAAACAAAATAAATCTGAGTATCAAGAAAAAGACGAAGAAGAAGAACCGCATGCTCAACCACGACGACGAACAACGTCATATACTCAGATCAAATATACTTCGTCTCAACAGTTTGGTCGAAAAAAATGAATGTGGTCAGCATCTTCAATTACTACAGTCACAAATATTGCGTGCCTTCCTTTATCTATGACTCCTCAAAAGAAAAATAACTGTGGTCGAAAGAAGATTATATTGACAGAATTTGAAGAAGATTCGATCCGGTATCAATTTCATTTACTTCTTGCTTCTAAACAATATCCAACAACTGCCAAGTTATTGACCCGTCTACTCGAAGAAGGTCCTGATTTTCCTATTCAATCCGAACGTACACTCCTTCGACAAATGCGACGGTTCCGTTTTAAATATGCTGCCACGTCCAAAGCTTCTATCCGTCTCGATGCAACAAGTTTCGTCGATTCGCGTCCAAAATATTTTCGATCTATTACCGATCGCAGAAATAACAATGTTGTTTATTATTACCAGGATGAAACGTGGTCAAATTCAGGTGACGAGAGGCGCCAGGTTTGGCCAGATGAAAATGGAGACGGACGCCTACGCAAAACTGGTGGTAAAGGTAAAACTGTTTATTATTTATTAACCACAAAAATAAAAAAAAATTTTTTTGAAGGATCGCGTCTAGCAATAAGCGCTCTAATAAGTCCGAATAGTTTTCATCTTTCTACTGTTGACTTTTTTAAATGTGATTTGTTTCATAACATGTGTAGCGATCATTTTATACAATGGATCGAAAGAACATGACTTATTCTTCGACAAGAACACGGTAATTTTCCCAAAAAAAATTCTTGACTTTTTTTTTGCGGATAGGAAATACTCGTCGCATCTGTTTGATTTTGGACAATGCAACTTGGCACAATGCTCAAATAGAAGAATTAAAATTACCCAAACGAGCTTGGAGAAAAGACAAGGTCGAAGAGTGGCTCCAAAGTCATCATATCACCTACGATCAAGACCTGACCAAAGCCGAAATGCTAGAAATAGCATATTCTCATGTGCCTTCCAAAGAATATATAGTAAAAATTCTTTTCCTTATGCATTTTCGATTAGCACACTGCCTTTCTTTCTAGGTAGATCGCATGGCAGCTCGGTTTCAAGTCGACATAATACGTCTACCTGTTCGTCATTGTGTGCTCAATCCAATAGAGCTCGCGTGGACGGGCCTAAAGACTTACATTCGGAACAACAACACTCGATTTTGTCTTAACGATGTCCACGACCTTGCGCTCGAGTATCTAGCTGCCGTCGACGAACAGCTTGCCACCAGCGTTTTCGCTCATGTTTTGCAACATGAAGAAGTTTCCAAAGCAGCAGATAAATATGTAGAGGAAGAAGTAGAGTTCCTACTTCAGGATGAAGAGATTTGCGACGATGATGACGATGATATAGATGAAGATGTGTCTTCTGTCGACTTCTAATATGTAAATACATTTTTTTTTGATCAAATTCATACAATAGTTGGATAAGAACAACGTCATGATGTACCCTCAATGAAATTAGCCTGTTCTTTCATCATCTGGTATATGAAAGACAAATAAAATTGAACTATACAATGAAAATTGGACAACGAGATTATTTTTTTCTAACCATTAATGACACTATTCGACTCCCAGAGATCAAAAACATAAATGCAAATTGAGTTTTCAACGGTTTTCACAGCAAAAAGACGACTTTTTGGGTGATCGCAGAGGTCTTCAGTGGACACCATCCAGTAACCGAATGAAAGAAGATAAAATTCTCAAACTTACAGGAAATGAAGAGAAGCATATACTCGATATAATCCATGTCTAAAACTCAAAAACTTATTGAAACAGTTTGGACCGAGAAAGTCCGAATTAAGCCCAGGCTTCCTGAGACTGTAAAAAATCCTACAATCCTAATGAGTTTGGTATCAATTTATTTCCCCCACATTTGTGTTTCGAATGCTGAAAACCGCAGGTTGATAGCTGCATCCGTTCTCGAGATATTCAAAAAATACTCGCGTTCATCGTATTTTGTCGCCGATAGTAGTAATTGATGTTTAAATTGAATTTTCCTTGAGAGAGATTCTAGGTGTATTTGTTGTTGTTCATAAATTAAAAATCTTAAAAAAGCAGATAAATAAAATTCTAAACGACAAGCATAGAATTACATGCAATGATGACGATAGAAGTCATCGTTGCATAGAAGAAAGTCAAGTTTACTGGTTTACATATATCGTAGATATATTGAATTCTTTAAAACTAGATCTGTATGAACAAATTCTAATTGAGAAAATACTTAAGCTAAAAATATATCTAAAACACATTATCTATTAGGGAAAGGAGATTAAGTTCGATATTTTCTTAAAATTGTCCAATCTTATTCATGTCACAGTAGTGACATCCATGTCGAAATGAAATCTTTCTTTCGATTTCAAATCTTCTTAATTATGTTAAATAACTGTAGAAGTTATATTGGACTTTCAGTTTGATAAAGTTTGTAATATTTCTTGAATTAAGTCATAATTCATAATCAATTATCGAAAGTCAGTGATTGAAAGTGATTTATCGCTCCGATATATCACCGATGCTTTAGCGAAATACAATTAATGACGATTTTGCGCTGAGTTTTTTCGAAATCGTCAAAATCACGGCGATTTTCGCGACATGGGCCTGATCACCTATATCGCAGATTTGTTTGCACTACCATCGGTATACCGAGGCACTCGTAAGAACCAGTGGGAGCACTTTCGTCTTTCAGCTGCAGAGTTTTTTCTGCCTAAATTGAAAATATTTATTAAAAAGAATTCAAATTAACCAAGAAGAGAACAGTTTCAGAATATATCTTGCGAATAAAAATTTTTTTGCAGTCCCAACTATAACAAAGATTTATCCCGAACCTAGGGCTGCTTTGGGTTCTCTAACTAATACAAGCGGCTCCGACGCATAAACATTGCAAGTGACTCAAGTCCGCCAGTTTCTAACAAACTTCAACAATATTCACCCGTTTTGATACAATCACTATGATACAACACTTTCAGACAAAACCGGTGGTAAACTGCCGATAGTTTCTCTGCACTTATCAGATAGGCATCTCAATGCACCGTAAGCATTATTTTATTAAAAGGCTTTTCTTGTACTATTTACTACACTATAAATTTTTTTGAAACTCTACTTTTAAGAAAATCGACTTTAAAAAAGTTGCAGTCTTTTCAAATTTTCATTATTCATCTGTCGAATCTTGAAGATTTAGAAAATGCTAGATTTTCTAATTCATACGAATTCAATTTAATTTTCGAAAAAAATAAAAAATCAACACTGATTGTGAATAAAATTCAAAAATGAATTTCTATTTGAAAAAGATCATTCTAACAATGACCGCTATAGAGTCATTGTTCATTCATGTATATAAGCCGGCCGATAGTGCTATCCATTTATTATATTCTCCGGCCATTAGTGAGTTGAGAAATTATACTTTTACACTTCCTCTGTGAGTCAGTCCATTATGTATGTATTTAAATTATAATTATTTATTTATTTATTCATTTTATTTGATGCATTTAGTAAATTAAATTAAATGTTTTTGAAATTAATTAAATCTAATTTATTTATTTATTTTGATTCATTTATGTCAATTAGATGTTTATGAAATTATTTAAATTAAAATCAGTTATTTATCTATCTTATTTGATGCATTTAGTGAATTAAATGTTTATGAGATTGATTAAATGCAAATTATTTATTTATTTATTTTGATGCATTTATGTCAATCAAATGTTTATGAGTTTATTTAAATTAAAATTAAAACTATTTAATTATTTATTTTATTGAATACATTTTGATACTTCATTATGAAATGAAAATAAAATTCGATTTTCCAGTTTTAAAAAAATACTCGAATTGCTGAATAAAATCCGAAATTCTAGGGATGCCCATATGAATTCACTTTCGATTTTCTAATTAGAAAATCAAATTTATATTCTTAAAGTTTCGAATATCTTATTTTCAAAGAATTAAAAATTCATCGATGAATTCATATGAGCATTCCTAGAATCTCATTCAGTAAACTCTATAACTTATTTTCTAATTTACAGTGTAGGGATGAGAAGAACGAAATCATCTCTCTTCCCATTCACCAGAAACACCTACGAACATGCTGGTATACGGCGATGGTATATAAATCGGTATGCAGCCATAGACGTAGATCCAAATACTACGACCAGGTTGGATCGTCGAAAATATTGCAGGGTGGTCTCTAAATAGTACTGCTATAAAAAAAGTGAAATATCTATGCATTGATCCAATCATATGGACTAATGCTTTGGTTAGTGGTAGAAGTTCATTCAAAGTTTTCTTTCAAACTGATCTAATAAGCAAATACTACTGTTAAGTGTTCTTGTTGGTATCATGACAGCATTATTACATGTTGTCAGGTAAAAAATATAAATGCGTAATGTGTCGTAGATAATTTTCAGTTTTCATCTAAGCGAATAATAAGACAAATCGAAACTAATTGTTATAGTAATAATTCTTTATTGATATGCACAGAGAAGTTTTCAAAAGTAGTCAGTTTGAATACTGAAATTCATATCTCATAATTAAAACACACAATTACATCCTATTCGGTTTCAAAACAGTAATGTTTTTGTAAAAATCCGTGTCACATGTCTGAAGATTCGAAACTTTGTAACCGTTGACTTTTGAGCTAACTCGCATTAAAAGCTTGCTCTATGTGGATCAATAAAAAATCATTCATAGAGCTCGTTTTGACTTGTTTTTATTATTCTCTTAGCTGACAACTGAAAATCATCTATGAAATGCTGCACATGTAGTTTTTTTACTTGAAAACAGGTGAAATTGCTTTCATGATATCAATAATGATACTTGGTAGTAGTATTTGCTTACCTTTCCCATATGAACAAAAACCTTAAAAAACTTCTACCACTAGCCAAAAAATCAGCTTATTTCATATAACTGATGCAGAGATATTTCATAGTTTTATTGTAGTGCTATTTTAAGGACCATCCTGTATTACAACAATCGCTATTATTTTATAAAAGTCAAGAAAACCATAGGTAAAAAACGCCAATTTATACGGTTAATCGCGATAAAATCGTCTAGTTTTGCATGATTTTGATCACATGGAAGCGAATGTTCTTCTTACTGTTAACAAGTTGTTTGCCACACAGTAGTAGATATAAGCAGCTAGAGACCACCCGTTTGAAATCGATAAAGTTTGAAAAATAAAGACATTCGCTTCCAGAACATGGTTTTTCAAGGAACGAGCAATGATTTCATTTGAAGCCTGCTCCTTTCTATTATTATTGATTGATTAACTGTTTTGCTTAGGGATATCACACGATTAAGATTAACACGATGAGTGTCATTGAATATCATCAAATATATTGGCTTGTTTGAAATAATCTTCAACAAATGTGTAGCTTTTTTTTCTTGCTTTTCGTTCGTTCAGATACAATTCATTACATATATATGTATATATATGCATAGCTATCAAAATTTTACTATAAGTTCAACTCAATGACTTGAATGAAAAAATCATACACGTATGTTTAAAAAAGAATGTACACTGCAAAAGTAATGGCATGAAATGTTGATTCATACTTTTCTTTGATAGAAGAATGCTAAACGAAAACTTTTTTTACCAGAAGATAAAGCTTTTGCTTCTCTTTCAAATCATATATAATATATTTTTATAAGACGCTTATAAACGGAGCGACGCAATGAATAAGAGAGATACTCTCAAAACAAATTTGCACTTTTCGTGGAATTTATAAAAACGGCGCATCGTGTTGATTCCTGTATATGTTAAATAACTCTTCGATAAGCATCTTTTAAAAAGAAAATTTTTTTATTCGCTAATAGGAAATTTTCTCCTCTTTAAAATGTGTATGATTTATATTTATCACATATTCATAAATGAAACGAAACGAAGAAGAAAGAGAAATACTCGCATAATAAATTTGTAATTTTATATGAATTACTAGTAGTTAAAAACATTTTTGTAGACGACAATTAATTCGATTGTTGTGTGCTCATTAAAAAGATGTTGTGAAATAGTAGTCACTTCGACTTTCATGAACCCGTTAAAAACTGCTTGTAAAGCGACAGTTAATTATAATTAACTACCGTCTACCAGATATTTTTGACTAATTCGTATAAGAATTACAAATTTATTATACAAGTATTTCTCTTACTTCCTCGTCTCATTTCATTTATAAACATGTAACAAATATAAATCATCCACCATTCGAAAGAGGAGAAAATTTCCCATCAGTCAATAAAAAAACTTTTCCTTTTCAGAATATATTTGTGATAGAGATATAAGGATCCATATGTTACACTGTCCTTTTATAGAAAAAGTGTGAATTTGTTTTGAGGGTGTCTCTCTTTTTCATTGTATCGTTCCGTTTATAAACCTCTTATAAAAATAAGTCATATATGATTCGAGAGGGAAGAAAGAGTTCTATCTTTTGGTAGAAAAAAGTTTTCTTTAAGCATCTTTCTATCAAAGCGAAGCAGAGGTCAACATTTTTTGCCAGTACTTTTGCATCGTACGTTACATCAAAATAGTAATCAAATACAGAAGGAACATTGATAGAATAGCCCATGATAGTATTGCTACAGTTTCGTGTGTATAGTAATATCTATCAATCTGAAACTTCAAGAATTATTTAACATTCAGGTGACAAAATCATTTCTCAAAATTGCACAAACTTAGCTGTACCTATAACATAACTGTTTATATTTTAAAACTGGTTACGAAGCTTTAAGGTCAAAAAAACAAGCTGCACACATATCAATAATGCAAAAAAAGAATTGACGTCTTAGACAAGAAAAAAGTGATTTTCATTCATTTCTTTAACTTTTTTGTATTTTATCTTTTTGCTTTTGATTTAAAATCGAATAAAAATAAAAGAAATCCGCTGTTTCTCCCCTTGATTAGATTTCAAACAAACAACAAAATAGAAAACATCATAAAAGTAATTATCAGTTTATAATGAATGATGAAGAATAGAAGAGAAAATATAAACATAATTCATTGCCTTTTTAAATCGAGATATAATTTGTACATTCTTTTATTATACCCATGACAATCGACAGTGTTCGTGTTAATGTTATTCTCGCACCTTGTTAAACATTTCTAATACATATTTTAAAAGAGTTTCAAATTTTGATTTATTGTCATGTCCGTAAACAATAAAAATAAAACTAATTCTATGTGATCTATCGGAATAATTTGTGAATACTTCAGGGTTAATTACCTAATTTAATGGGCAACATGACAGATACTAACAAACCTATTAATGAATTATTCATAATTTAGTAGATTCATTATTCAGAAATGTGCTGTTCTCCTATTAAACAGCGTACAAAGTATTTGTCGTCAATCAAAAATGTCATTATAACTTGTTCTGTACTTGAACGCTATTTCTTCAAACAGCATTTTCTCATTAAGAATGCTTAATTAACAATTTTTAACGAAAGAAATCAATGTAAAATCATAGATTTAAGACGTAATAAAATTTTTTCAAATTTATTTTTGATTTCAAAAGAAACTAATCCAAACATACAACATCATCAGTATGTAAACAGGCAGCTTTTCCTATCGTTCCTGAATCTACATATATACGACAACAACATTAAATAAAAAGAAAAAAACCCAATAGTAGGAGTAGTTATACAAAAATAGAGTCATTCATTTGAGAAAAAAACAAACAAAAATGTATCGAAAATGGGAATAATATTATAATATTCGAGCGCATTACGCAAAGCAATCCATATATATATATACATACATACTCGCAAAAAATGGCCAAAAGAATAAACATAGACTCGCGCATTACGTATCTGCAACTGTTTTCGTGTAACTCAATAATGTCTATTGCTATGCATATGGGAGCACAAAAAAAACATGGTTGGAAATTTAGCATTAGGCACAAGTAGAAAGAAAAACAAAATATGCTTACAAAGAATAACTAATCTAAACACATAAAACAAGAAGAAAAGAATATGGTATATCTTTTTTCTGTTATCCTTCATAGTCACACAAAATTGACCTACAGACGCAAAAAGAAAGCAAATAGACTAGAAAATACGACGTGAGAGACCACATAAACAAAAAACATAATAAATAATGACAATTATTCGAATAAAACTATCATTATGACTATAGGAAAGAAAATTCTTGTTTCTTTCGAAATGATATAAAAAGAAATTTCGGGTAGTAGCAATAGAGATATAGATCAATACATATTGAAAGCATTTATCTACAGAATATAACTGTATTTGACTTCAGTTTCCGATAAATTTCATTTCTATACTAATTGTCAATAACAACAATCGAATTTGAACACATATGTTAAGAAAAAGAAAAAAAAAGCCTAGAAAAACCTATGAAATTATTTGATTGTTGAATTTAATTGTCGGCGTGGTAAACAATTTGAACTAGCTAGAAATAATTCTTGAATATTTTGTTTCAGAATATTTAAATTAACATCCATCAAGGCTAAGAAAAACATAATTAAAATTGAATTTTAGTATTTTTTTCCTTGTCATCAATTTAAATTATTATTTACCTTCATTAATTTTAGGTTCTTTCTTTAAAATACATATGAGTGCTGTTGTTGGATTAATATTTTTTAAATATAAAACAAGACCTATTGAAAGTTCAATAGTACAACATGACATTGAATCAAGCACCGGACTTTTATTTGTCCTAGAAATAAAGTAGAAATAAAGCGTAATGCATTCATATCAAATGATTTTTCTTAATTGCATTCGATTCGCAGCATCATATACGCCTAAAGTTTTTAACGAACTCTTATCCAATATAAACGTTATTTCATGATCTAAACTAAAGATATAGATTTTTAACCAATAAATCGAAGCTAAAGACCGTCGGGTTAGTTTCGGACCTAGTCAAGTAGAAATATTTTTATTGATCGATTTTGAATTGAAACATTGTATCAAAATGAATCTGAGCAAAAAAATTTCTTTTGATTACATTCAAAATATGAAATTTTCAAGGTTGAATCGATATATGAAAATGACAATTAATAAATTTAATGTCTAAACAAAAGTTCTATTCACCAACTATCGATTCAAAATTATTATAAACGAATGATCTCCGATGATGACTCGTTTGATATTTACCCATATATAGACGAAATGTCTGTATAAACATCAACAACATCACAGCACAATTCCGATATTTGACTTTCGACTGGTTTTGTGTCAGATGCAAGAAATATTTTATTATAAATATCACACACAAAGATCTTATCCAATTGAGTACTCTAGAAAGAAAGAACGATGAAGTCAACAAATTATTTTTTATTACAAAATCTTGTTTACCGCTGTAACTAAATCAAGCATATTTTCGAGTGCACGTAATTGTCTTATTTGACTCTGAACTATTTTACTGAATGCTTCATGTATTGAATGATCATAAATACTTGTCAAATAAAAACTAAAAAAAAAACAAAGTTTAAATATAAATCAATTGAAATAATTTCAAATATTTACTTTATTAATGGTTCTTCTATTGAGCATTCATGTAACATAACAGTTACTTGTTGTTGAATATGTGAATGACGTTCTAAACGATCTGGTTCATGTACACCATCAATCTAAAAAATGTTTGAAATGATGGAAAATTTTTTTCAAAAAAAAATGTTTTTTCTTTTTACTTTATGAATCAGTACTTCAAATCGTACATTACGACCTTGTGAATGTATCCATTGCACAGAACTAACTAACAAATTAATTGCATCTGAACAATCTTCCTATAGACAAAAATCAAAAAATATTCGAATAGATTAATCTTTTTAAATACCGTAGCATCAAGAATAAATACAATTGTCGTACATTCAGATGAATATGTGTCAAAATCAAATAAAGATGCTGTTTTTGGACCGGGTACATCACGAATTTGAAATCTGACATGAATGCCACAAGTGAGTTCTAAAGAACATTGTCATGATTCATGAATATTAATAATATTCGTAAAGAGGAATTACCATGTATTTGAATCGTTTTTGTTTCTGGAAGTTGAAGTGTTTCACCGGCTGTCATTTTTTCAAAAATAAGTTTAATTATGGAAGTTTTACCACTTCTAAAAATTCATCAAATATATATACAGAGAATAAATTGAAATAGAAATAAAACATAACATCTCTTTACTTTGTTAAACCCCACATGAGTAATCTAGGCCGATCAGGTGCAATTTCTTCATAATCATCATCTATTTGTTGTTCTTGTTTCTCCATTTGTTCATCTTCAATATCATCTAATCTATTACGACCATTAGATATTGACGAATTATGAAAATCATTTGAATATGTTGTTGATAATTCATCAGAACGAGTGGCATGCCGAAGATATTGATGACATTCAACATCTGTACTAGCATTATTATTACTAGTAGTTTCATAGGCACCTTTTAGTCCGTAACTCATATCAGAAAGTGAAAGTGAAAAATCTAAATAGTATTGAATTTTATTTAAAAAAAATGAAATTTTTCAAGATTTCATATAAAGTATAGTCCATTGTTTGAATCTATAATGATATGTCAAAACATACTTCTACATTTTTATTCTAGTCCTTCGATTATCTTTAGTTTTTTCACTGTTATTCTTATTTCGATAGTGGTCGTATATATTGTCACTTATATTATAATGTAAGGTGTGTAAAAGAAAAATATGGACTAGTAGTTACCTTTAATCTTTTGTATATGGTACTCATTTCGATGCCTCTGCTCTTTAGTTTCGTCCCTGTCAATGTTGCACGTCTTCTCGTCCCTATCTCAAACATGCACAACTACAACCTCCACTGACGACGAGAAGACAAACACGACCGTATGGTACTCTCTCATTTCTATCTCTCCTTCCCTCTTTCTCACACACTTGTTCTTGCCCGAGCTATCATATGAGTTTCTCTTTCTGTCTCTTCTCAGCTGTTTTTTTTTGCCCCGTTTGTTCTCTCTCTTTCTCTATGTTCTCTCTTTTATTTGCTCGGATCATTCGGGCCAAAGACAAAGAATCAAGCTTTGCAGGCACTCGACGATATACAAGCCATAGAGAGAAAGAAAACTAAGCTGACGCCAGTAATATAACTGATATGAAAAAGAAAAAGAAAAGAGAACGTGAATGCACTCGCTTTCGATCAGCTGAATATTGTTCTATTAAGGACTGGATAGTATGACAAGATGAAAAAGAACGAGAAAAAAATAAATAAAACTCAACATTTTCTTTCTTTTTTATTGATGGCATTGCCTGATGAGGAAGAAGAACGATCGAGGATTTCCGTCTTGTAATAACACACAATCCTTTTCGAAAGAACTTACTGATATATATTTTTTCTCTTTTGTTTATCATTAACATTTCACGGTTTTCCTTTCTTGTTGATATAATATATAATCATATTTTTGCCGATATGATATTCCACAAAAAAAAAACGCACATACATATATTAGCTTTTCTATGAGGTCATCCTGTTCTGATTAATAAAAGCACATCTGTATTTATGATTGTATTCGATGATATTATTTAGTGCATTTCTCTTGTTTTTTTTTCTTATATTTTTGGCAAAATCAATAATAACATTAAATATGACAAACATCTGGTTGAAACCAAATCAAAAGAGTGTCGTGTTTTTTCTATAAACACATACATAAATGTATGGATTTTATTTTTTGGGGTTTATAAGTTGATCCTAATCTCCTAGTAATTGAATAAATATTATATGTAGACGCAAAGAACAAAAGAAACAACACAGAACAGTATATACATATATTTTTTTCTTTCATCGAAAAGAAAAAAAAAATAATGTCAAACAGTAGATTTGTTAGAGTTTAATTGTTATTCTATCGGTATATTAACATTGTATATAAAGACTGTCTTTTATATTCGAATACTAAAGTAGAGTAAATCAGATAAGTAAAGATGTCTACAAAGCAATCATGCACGCATGCACACACTTTTCAATTTGCATTTTCAATGCCTAGAGATGATGTGATGAGAAAGATGAGTTCATTTCCATTTTTATCAACGCTTGTGATAAACTCTGATAATGTACCTCTAGCTTTTTTTCTTTCTCTCTTCTATTGCTGAGGGCAAAAATAAAGACTTGTGTCGGCTTGATAGGGCATTGATAGCTGTTTGCCAAGTCTTTATACTCTTTCTTCTCATCTTTCTTCTCGTCTCCAACAAATTATAGACTGTAACAGAAAGACTGTATTTACATGTGTATGTTAACTATTCTTATCATCCACGATATATCTTCGAGGCAAGCAAGTAACTAAAAACAAAACAAAAAAAAGAAGAAATGAGGGGGAAAATGAAAGAAACCGAGGTCGGAAAGAAAAAAATCAAACTAAGAACATACATTGCCTCGTTGTCGTTCTCTCCGTAATTATTGTGCTAGGTTTGTTTTTGACTGAGGCGAACAAATAAAAACAGCAACAATAACAATGAATCAAATGCCATCAAAAAGCAATTTAATAAGGTTCTTAATTTACATCGATTCTATTTCAAATTCTCTTTCCTAGTTAAAGATACATAAAAAAGAAAGAAAACGATAATAATTTTACATACGCAAATTTTTTTATGTATAAAACACCCAATAGAAGTTTATCTGGTATACTATATCAATGAGAAGAAGAGAGATTAAACAACTCTCTTCACTTTCTTTTTTTCATAATTCTTTCTACATATATATACACACGCATATATATATGCACTTTGTACTCAAACAATTGTTGGCGACCCTCGTTGCAAGCATAACACACGTTCGATTGATTGTCTTAGTGTCAATATTTTGCCGATATGGCAACGAAATTCAATCTCTTTGCTGATGCCCTTCCAATGATGACGATACACATTATACGTATACAAAGTAAAAGCAAAAAAAATCACTCGATGTTTGCATATAAGCAAGAGTAGTAGAATGCACATTTCTTGTTTGCAGCTACCAACATTCTATCGGAATCAGTGCAATCGTATATGTTATCCTCTAGGTTTTCCCTTGATTTTTTTTTCTTGTTCTATGTCTTTGCTCTCTTCTCATCGGTTGATAAAGTATGTTATTTTCTTCGGGCATAACGGATCATCTGTTCTTGTTTATTCTTTTTGGATCTCATTGCAGATAGCTTTGTGATGATTCCCTTTTTTCTCTTCTTTTAAGGCTACCTTACAAAAGTACATACATGATTTTCTTGATCGTCGAGTTCGCTAAGCCTAGTATAGTCTTATTATAATCTATAAAGATTTTCCAGTGTCTTTGTCTTATAATTTTTGTATATCTGCTCAAGCTTTAATCCAAAAAAAAAATCCTGGTTCTATTGATCAAGAATAGTTAGTATGATTTTCCGTGTTATTTGTCTGTCGCGAGCAAAGTACATGTATCACGAATATCGTTGTATTTGCCGTTCATAGGACACATTGATTTGACAGTTGATTACGAAAGAAAAAGAAGATAATAATAGGCTATACGTGATTATCGCGCATATTTAAATGATTGATAGATAGGGCCTAAAACTATTTTTATTTGTCAATGAAATATGCACATACATATCAAATGAAGGAGAATGCAGACAATAAATCGTTGATGCAGATAATATTCAAAACAAAAACATATTTGTAATAAAGGTCTGATGACTATTTCGAAAAGAAAACAAATTGACATAAATGTATTGCTAGTATTTTCATGTGGACATTCAAGAAAAAAAATATATATGTATAAGCACATGTTAATGGAAAAATTCTATTTAGACTTGTCATTTACTTTAAACACACAAGGGTAAACAGTAGAATGACAATGTTATTGACAGATTTCTTGAAAGCCTAGACAATTTTTTTTCTTAATTGTCATTTTATTGTATTCATCAACAATAAAAAAGAAAGGACTCTTAACTATGTATGTCCTATTCTATAGCATATCTCACTTAGATGGTGCCATTCAACGTCAAAGAACGACATCAGATATAAATAACTTATTCATTGAAAAACAAAATGACAATAAATCAACGAGAATGAGTGCCAACTGATAGAAATAAAAAGCCATCCTATTCACAGATATTCAGTTAATTTAATAATGTTTCATTTTGTTATTAAAAAAGAAGGTCATATTTTTAGCTTGGAAAAAAGCAAAACATTGAGCTTTATAATTTTTTTTTTTAATATGAACAACATTGATTATATGTAAATTGTAGATGAAATTGTTTCTTTGGCCTAGATGAACCGGATACAATTATATTTACATTTAGTTTATCGCTAGAAAAAAAGGTTTTTCATTTCTTCTATTATTTATAATTTTTTTCTTTGTTCCCTAATGTCTAGTACATTTGTTACAGGTCAAATCATAACATATTTCTACCTCAACTTAGATCTTAATTTATATGATTGTAGTATAAATCTTCCTGGCTTTTATAAATTTTATATAAAATATTCCTTGATTAAGACTAGTTTTAGTCATATTTTTTATCCATTGTTTTGACTATGAAATAATTAAAATGTTAACCGATTCAATAAAAATCTGAAAACTGGTTTAGATCAATAAATGAAATTTAGCCTTTTTAATTCTTTAAAATATTTCTTAACTAAAATAACACGTAGTATATAAATTAAAAAGTCAATCTGAATTCTTAATCTACATGATTCTGATGTAGGTTGCAACACGACTACAAACATGTTGATCTAATTTAAGTTTAGAAATAGACACGTTCATTTATGTTTTTTGACTTATTAAACTAATTTGTATTCTTGTTCAGTATGATGTTCAGCTAAGATTTTATAATTATTGTCTACACTCCATGTTTTTTTTTTAGATGAGTCTTGATGTCCTTTGAACTTCGATTATATAATATAAGATAACTACCTCTATTTCATAAATACAAATAAAAAGTAATGGATATTTTCAGTAAAACGATGCTGATATTTTTAGAAAATTGTTCTGAGCCATTAAGTCTGAACTTGAATCTTAAAGGACAGATTAATTGTCTTTATCTCTATACTAATGTCTGTCCAATAATAAGATGGCCGTGGGTATTTTTGTAATAACTTTCGATAGGAACAAGATAGAGACCTGGGGTTTTCACCGTTCGACAGAGGACAGAGAGGGACATGGAGACATGCGATTTTCATTGGTCAATATATCGACCAATCAGATGAATTTCTTGATGGACATTATTAGGACAAGATTTTAAAGGTTAATTTCTGATATGATTTTGACTTGTAATACCACCATNATAAATATATGAACCAATTACGTTAGCTAATAAAGTTCCAAGTGGAAAGTTTGAATTGGTATTAAAAACAATTGATAATATGTATCGAGTTAATGAACCAAATGGAGCAAATATGACGGAATAAATAAAGTATGTATAATGACCAACTGGTACGAGAACAGCTAAAAGAACTAATAATGGAATACTTAGAATAATCAATAGTGGAAAAAGCCAAATTTGTATAAATTCATGTAAATCTTGAAATTTTATTGTTATTTTTGAGAATGATGAAAGAATAAATATACTTGCATGACGACCAATTATGAATCCAATAAATGACACCGAAAAAATTGAAACTATCACAGCTAAGTAATTAGATACAGGATACGTAAAATGACTTGATGAACCATATAATGCTATACAAGAATTATACATTACACCCGAAAATGTTGTTATTGAACCGCATAAACCCGTCGTTAAACCAATGTATAATTGAGAAGAACTAAATATGAATTATGAAAAATAGAAAAGCAAGAAAAAAAAAACAGTAAACACATACTGTTTATGAATATGTATTTTTCGTTCAACAACAAAGCCCATTATAAGACATCCAACAAAATTTGGCCAAAAAGCTGCACTTAATGGTGATTGATTGTTTCCGAGAAAAGCTAGACCGAGACGAATTAATACACCAATATAAGAAAATATTATAATAGGCATTATAGAACTTAAACGATGTTGCTGTACGACAATCGGTTCAGTTTCTGCTGTAGTTACATTTTCCAAATTCTCAATTTCCATTCCAGTATTCATTTTTTTCTTATTATCTATATTACAAAATAGAAAATGTTTCATTATAAAATACTCTTTGTTTCTTTTTTAGAGTAGTTTTTCAGATCAGTGACATCTCGTCATTCACAACTTTTGATGTGCTCCGTCAATTAGAGTAATTAGTGTATAAGATGTTATCAATCTGGATAAGAATCGAAAGTTGTCCATTAACATGCTTTCTGCCATTTTTATTTCTCTTCAAGAAAAACACATGGATCAGATGCTTGTCAACTAACCAATGATTATCAAGATCAAATGCAATTGGATATCTTCATAAAATAAATAACTTAGTCGATAGTCTCGAAAAGTAAAGTCAAAGTATTTTTAGCGTTACTACTTGCTAATCTATATCAAAAATCGTTTAAACCAATATTTTATGTTTTATGTCAGATGTTTAAATCAATTCAAAAATATAACCAAATAATTGAATGCATCGTTTCGTTTTACTTGACACATTTAACTTATTATAGAAAAAATTGTTTCATAGTCAATAATGAAATCAATAATATGTGCTTAATGTTCATAGCAAATAAATGATAGTTAGTTTGTTTCTCTTCCAATAAAGTCATTAAAAACGCCAATCTGATTAGAAAGTAGTCACCTAATAATATTGAGAAACTAATTAATGTTTTGTGTAGTTGAATCTTGATGAATTTAGTCGTATTATAAATTAAGCGTGATATTAGTGATGAAAATCAATTCGATATTTTAGAAATATAATTCATCAGATATTTTCCTATTTTCAAAATGTGTTCATATGATTTAACTATTTAGGAGAAAAACAACATTCGACTGATTTCTAAAATGCTTATCAAGCAATCAATTTGCTTGTATTATCGATCTGATGACTGAAAACTCATTGCACATTCGTGATGTTTTTTGTAGTGATATTTTACTGTTGATTAGTAGATTTCACAATGATGTGTACTAAAATACAATTTTGTTAATCTAATCAAATAAGAAAACTAATCATCAACAAGTCATGAAGTTCATTTTATATTTATCTATATTATTTTATTTAAAATAAACTTGATCAACGATATTTCAATAAACAAAACTGTAGTTTCAGTAAATTTACATACACTAATAGAATAAGTCGAATTGATTTAAATGGTGTTAAGTACATGTGATAAAAATATTTTAAGTGATTTAATATAGATTGAATAAAAGAAGTGACTTGCAATGAACAGTGACTTTTCATGTTTATTTTGTTTTGCTTGAAAAAATGAAAAATAATAATAAATGAATGTTGATTCAGTCAAAATTCAATATTTGAACAAAACTAATTGCTCAAACATTTATTTTGGGTGTCTGACTATTAAATTAATCATAAGAGTGATTGCTGAATGCTTAAAAATGATCTAATATTGTTTTGTTTTTTCGTACTCCATCGTATTAAACAAGCATAGGGCGAAATGAAATCGAACAAATCAATCTATCGTAAAACAGAATATGCAACTTATTTATTACAGTTTATCAAGGTGATTTCATCGTGTTTTTATCGACTTTAATAGATATCTCATTTGATGATGTGGTAAAACTAATATATAAGGAACCAAATTTTTCTCTTCTCATTAAATTTTATTATAAAATGACATATTTTAAAGATAATCCGTTGAGTTTCGATGTTGTCTCGTGGTACACCATAAGTAATTATTTAAAAGAAAATATTCAAATAGAACGTAATAACCACGGGTTACAATTACTTAATAAACGTGTTGCTAATTCTTATTCAGAATTAGCACGTTGAACATCAGCTATTTATAGTTAATAGTTATGGATACGATCAAAAAGTAAATATATTAAAGTGAGATCGAAAACAATCCCATCATCTATTTTAGGTAATAAATAAATATGAGTTTTATCATTAATTTCTATATACTATATAGGACTAAAGAAAAGAAAATTTCGTGCTGATGTCCAGATGATAAATAATAGGATCGAGATGAATAATTACGATAACGTTTACTATGTGAATGTACTCTAATTCAATGCAAATAAAAAGATGTAGTGCAATCACGTTTAGTTTTTGATCTTTGTACATTTCGAAAATTTAGTGGTGGTCTCGGGTAAGAATTAACTTGATAAATTGCTCACCATTTAAATGCTAATAGTATCTTAAAAGAAAAATTTTCAAATTTATAATATACAGAGGAATCTATGTTTGTAAGACTCCCAACTTTAGAGAGCTCAATTCTTGTCAAAAAATATGATTTTTGAGATAAACCTCTGAATATATTGCCTGAGTTATCTATTATACGAATTCCAAAGAAAAAATTGGTTTGATTCCCGAAGATCTTTGGAATTTTGTGAATGACTTTTGAAACTATCTGGATAAATAATGATGTCTAAAGCAATTAGTAAAATTTCTTTTGTAGACTTAGATCGGCGAAACAAACAAATATTTTTCAGAGGTAATAAAATCTTCCACATCTTTTAGGCACACTCTTAAGATCTCCAATGACTAGAGCGTATGAGTGTGGGTTTTCTCTTCATTTGCACTCATATTCCTTCATATGATGTTTTCGATTATCACAGCTTGACAAGTTACGACCTCAGTAAAGTTCTCAATCAATCTCATAGTATTTGACAATATAACACTATTTGTATAAAATACCTTTATGGGCATGGGAAAATCTACGTAGAAGATTTTAAAATTTTATGACATAGTATTATTTATATTTCAAATAGTTTTAATTGAGAGAACATAATCACTCTAGGATTTCAACAATGAGGAGGATAAAATCAATATGGTAAACAATTAATCATTTGATTTAATTCAATATAAGAAAAATTCAAAGAGCAATTTATTTTGTTCTATTATATTCTCATTAGGCAAATCGCTCATACTAAACGTAGTAGAAATAGAGTTTCTCTAATATAAAATCATCATAAACTAATTATGTGTCTGCGCTCTTCATTACTAATTACTGCTGCTGTCATCATATGAATGACTAAACCTGAAAACAACCGAACTCAAAAAGTTTGAACTCTGTTCATTAGAACTCAGACGAAAGTTTTTGTAGTTTCAGAGAAATATTTTGTGCTTATACTGGATGACTCATAATGGTTGCAACATTTAGTATTTTTCAAATACCACAGCACAGATAAATCGTATAATGTTGACTTCTTTTTGGAAGATATACCGTGAAATTCTTCACAAGAATAGTAATAATGAGGAATTCTATTGAGTTAGTTTGATGATTGTTTTATAAGACTAAAAGTGAAGCACTGTCTGATGGTGAGATGGTCCAATATTCTGAGAGAATTAAAAATGAAAACAACGCTAACAAATAATCGTCTTCTTATTTCAAACAAAACTTTTTATAATATTATCACTAGGGGAAGGAAGTTACTGTTATCAAAATTTTCCTAGTTTATCAAAAGGTAAGTGACCATTCGAAACCGACAATTCTTTATAAAATTCGATGAACAGTGTAAGGATCAAGGAGCCTGAATCTGTAATTGGTTTCTCGAAATTTGTAAAATACCAGACGTTGCAGTCATAATGGCTGACTCAATATAAGTAGCAAGTACTTTTCCAAGTACAAGCAAAAGACTTTTACTTGCTGTACTTGTCCTACCTCTACTATTGATGTCTACATATGACTTCAAACATATTGATTTAATTTAAGTTTAGAAACAGACACGTTCACTTATATTTTTAGACTTATTCAACTATTTTTTTTTCTTGCTTACCATGATGTTCAACTATGATTTAATTACTATTTTCTTCGCGCTGTATTGTTTTTTGTTTGTATATTAGTTTTGAGGTGTCCTGAGCTTCGATTATAATATAAGGTATTTAACTTTTATTCATAAATGCAAATAAAGACTAATGTATATTATCAGTAAAACTATGCAAATATTTTGGAAAACTGTTTTTGATCATTTAATCTGAACTTGAATCTTAAAGGACAAATAAATTGCCTTTATTGCTGTACTAATTACTAATAATACACGAGTACGAAATTTGAACTGTATGAAATGTTTACCTCTCAAATAAGTTTATTGTAAAAACTGAAGAAAAAATGAATTTGTCTATTCATTCAATTAATATTTCGTTTTTTCATGCACACTGTAAAAAAAAATATAAAGATCAGTAATCAAAATTAAAAAAAACTAAATGCCACTATTTTATCCAAAACTTTTATACGACTACTATCAACAATAGAGCTATTTCTTTTTTTACTAGCAAAACTAATAAGATTTAGTTTCTATAATCAATTGTCTTTCTGATAATAATTTTACTCAATAGTTATCTAGTTTCGATCATTTGAAATAATTCTTTTATCTATCATATAGTTGATAATGTTTCGTTCCTTGAGGTTTACATGAATTTAAAAAAGGCAAGGCTTGATATATATTATGAACAATCAACATGTCAAATAAAAACACCTCTGTGGTACGCATGAAATAGTATAAAGTATAAGCAGTAATATCATATTGTTTCTCTTGTTGAATAACACCAAATTATAATGACTATGATTGTGGTGAACAAAGAAATGAAAATTTTCTGGCCAAAATAATGTAAACTATTTGTATGAGTACTAAAGTAATTATAACATAGGCATAAATATATTTGCGTTTTTTTATTGTATCTAGTTCTAACATAAATGTTGAAACGGTTGTTAAACATCCACAATAACCTTGTATAATACTAATAATTATTTGTTTAATTAGAGGAGATAATGTATGCACATATTCATTTATTGCTACCATTCCTAAATAAATATATGAACCAATTACGTTAGCTAATAAAGTTCCAAGTGGAAAGTTTGAATTGGTATTAAAAACAATTGATAATATGTATCGAGTTAATGAACCAAATGGAGCAAATATGACGGAATAAATAAAGTATGTATAATGACCAACTGGTACGAGAACAGCTAAAAGAACTAATAATGGAATACTTAGAATAATCAATAGTGGAAAAAGCCAAATTTGTACAAATTCATTTGAATATGGAACTTTTTCTGATGATGATGGAAAAACAAACATACTTAAATGACGACCAACTATAAATCCAATAAATGATGCAGAAAAAACTGAAAATATCACAGCAAAATAATTCGATACAGGATATGTAAAATGACTTGATGGACCAAATAATGCTAAGCATGAATCATACATTAATCCCGAAAATGTAGTAATTGAACCACATAGACCAGTTGTTAAACCAATATATAATTGAGTGAAACTAAATATTAATTAAGAAAAAATAGAAAACAATAAAAAAAAACGGTGAATACATACTGTTTGTGAATATGTATTTTTTGTTCAACAACAAAACCCATTATAAAACATCCAACAAAATTTGGCCAAAAAGCTGCACATAATGGTGTTTTATCATTTCCAAGAAAAGCTAGACCGAGACGAATTAATACACCAATATAAGAAAATATAATAATAGACATTGTTGAACTTAAACGATGGTGTTGTACAACAACTGGTTCAGTTTCTGCTACAGGAATATTTCCTACATTCTGAATTTCTATTTCAGTATTCATACTTTATTGTCGGCTATAATAGAAATAGATAATTTTTCATTATAAACAAGTCTCTTCTGTTTGTCTTTTAAAAAAATAATTAAAATCAAATCATTTGTTCTCATCAATTACAGACACAGATCCAGTCAGTTTTGTAGAAACTCTAAATTGATTGACGCTAGTGTTATAGCATGTGCATAAGACGTGCCATAAGAAATTATGTTATATATATTATTATATATATTCGATTTCTCTTTCGTTTCATACATATATGTTGGACTATACACGTATGTTTTTTTCCGTTCTGTTAGGAATTTTTGCTAGTGTTGTTCTTTTAGTTTCTTCCTGTATTTTCGTTCTTTTTTTTTGATCTAACAACTGTTGTTTGTTGTCTCTCATCCCTAGTGTGATTATTTTTTTCCTATTCTTTGAAAAGTAAAGAAAACATTATTCTTGCTCTTGACTTACGATTATTGCGTAGTTAGTAGTACGTATCATTATCATTAATATGTTCGTGTGATTCTAAGAAAATCGGATTAGGATTATTCTTTACAACAAGAAGAGTAACTGATAAAAATAACTTAAATAACATCTTAAAATCCCCATACACACAACAACCTATATCGGATCTACAAATGGGTGCACTAGCTGGTGTTGATTGTGTGTATGGTACAAACGAGGCAACAAAGGAGAAGACAGGAAGAAACTGACCAGTTACAGATTAATCAAGAAAATATTTTGTACGATAGCATCTAATCATTGATGGCATATGAATCATTACATACAATATTATTAAATGCTTTGGAAAAATTATTCTTATTTGGTGATGAACGAAACGAGGATGTAGACGAGTGGTTTGAAGAAATTACGATTGGAATGAATTTTGCAAGATTAAATGATAATCAAAAGGTACGTATTGTTCATACATATTTTATCAGTGACGCAAGAAAATGGATCTTTAACAATATGTCAGTATTAGATTCATGGCCAAATTTTGTACAAGCGATTAGAAGAGCATATGTACCACCTATTCAAAAGCAAATTCAATGCGCAAATGTTATGAACGAATCATTCGATAAGATCGAAAATTAGGAAGCAAACTTAGTGAAAGATATATCAACAATAGCAGAAGAAACAATAAAATTACTCAAAAAAGAAGAAAAAGAAGCTGCAGAATTAGTGAAAATTGAAGAAGAAACAGTAAAATTAGTTTAAAATGAACAAGAATCAGCAGAAATTATTGGGAAAGAAGAAAAAGACGTCGAAAACCGAGATGATTTCGTCAGCATATCACTGAAAAATGACAAAATATTGAATGAATCGATCCATGACAATTAAACGTCATCAATTACAACCGTATCACAAGTTAATGAAAATTTTAATGATATCATGCCTTTGGTATTGGTCTGCATCGAAAAACATCAATTAATGGAATTTTTTTGATATACGAAGCATGAGAAACATGTATGTGGCTAATTGTCAATCACTTTGGTTTAATTTATCCCAGCATGAACTAAATAGTTAGGAATGGTGTCACACTTGGGTAGTAGCATAACTACCAAAGATCTCAAACAACAACCATGCAAACTATGTATTCGTCTTGCAATTCAATTCCAGTGGCAGTACTAGAATATTGATTAGTAAAATTGAGAGTTTTTTTTTTATCTTTCTCTTTTTTGGATGAACGTGGAAGTTCCTCTTGTTGTATGGAGGACCTGTTATGGCACGTTCATAAAACGTTCCATAAGAAATTATGTTATATGCAATATTATATAGGTTCGTTCTCTCTCTCATTTCTTACATATATGTTTAACTATATATGTCTTTTCTTTTGTTTTGCTAGATATTTTTCCTTGTGGTGTTCTTTTGTTCTTCTTCCTAGTGAAAAGTGATCCAAAAAAGACGAAAGAGGACGCGTTCGTCAAACTATGGGAAAATGTCATGTTCATGAAGAGCGTGTTGTATATTTTGCAGAAGGCTCAACTGAACCTCATTATCGTTACATTGATACTTTTCTCCAAGCAAGCAAGCAAACGAAATAAGTGATGCGACGGACACTCACATTGTGTATATATGTTTTCTTTTTCGTTTTGCAGACATTCCTTTTCTACAGTTCATCGGAAAAACTACCGGCGAAGTTTATAACGAGCTACGGTAACTGTCAAAATCGCCGGTTTACCGTTAAAAGTGATCCGTTTTTTGTGACACGGGATGAAGCGTTCGGTTCAGTCCAGAAAGAGAAAACAAAGAGTTTTATTAATTATAAGAAAAGTATTATCTCTGTAGAATTTTTTCAATCTAGTATTCCGCTTACTTTATGTAGTATTTTATTCTTAAAAAACTATTGCCAAAGTAACATAAAGTGTCTGTCCGTGTGTTCGAATGTTTTTCGTATGGAAAATGATGTGGCGCCACTAATCTCAATAGTTCATTAAAAAAAATTCTATTAATTTTAGATAGATGGATAAGATAGAATAAATAAATAGAATGGGATAAGTATATAGAGTAATAATGAAAGACCGAAATAATATATTTGACTATCTATGATCAATCTATGATTCAAACCGATTATAACAAATCGTATTTTTTCGGTTTCTTTTTCGTTCTTTTATTATTATTTAAGTGGATAGACCATCATAGGTTGATAGAATGCAATAGAATAGATACAGGGTGTCCCTTAAATAGCACAACGATAAAAAATTTAAATATTTCCATTCCGGTTAAATCAAATGGGATGATTTTTTGGTTAATAGTGGAACTTTATTCAATTTTTTTTTCATACGGATAATGTAAGCAAATACTTCTATTAAGAATTATTGTTGATCTCACTAAAGAACTTTTATCTATTATCAGGTAAGAATAATATATGTAAAGCATTCCATAGATAATTTTTTGTGGTCACTTAAGAGAATAAAAAGAAGAATTCAAAACAAACTTTATGAATCATACAAATTTGATGCAAATAGACCAAATTTTCAAAACTAACTTGTTTAAATGCTACGATTCGTGTCCGAAAACTGAAACATAGAATTAAGATCCTTTGGACATCGAATTACCAACTTCTTTGAAAAAATACAGTATTTCATCCTTCAAAATTGAAAATATTGTATTTGTTCGCTTTTAAATTAATCACTTTTCAAAATTCGGTCTATTTATATTAATGTTGTATCATTCATAAAGTTCGTTTCGAAGTCTTCTTTTTGCTCTCTTAAGTGACCACAACAAATTATCTATGGAACGCTTTATATATATTTTTCTTGATAATAGATCAAATTTCTTTAGTGAGATCAACAATAATTTTTAATAGAAGTATTTGCTTACACTATCCGTATGAAGAAAAAATTGAATAAAGTTCTACTATTAACCAAAAAATCATCTTCATTGATTGAATCGTAATTTAAATTTTTTATCGTAGTGTTATACTTATGGGATACTCTATAGATAAGAATTGGTAGATACTTTGGATAAATAGATAGGATAGATAGTTATAATAGGTAGATAGGATGAGATAGATGGATAAAATAGGCAGATAGGATAGCATAGGTAGATAGATAGCTAAGCAGGCGGATAGGTATATTCCGATCAGATTGTGTGTGAACAATCTGCCCAAGTTGTAATCCTTTATTAATTGTTCAACGGCAGAAAGCTGAAGAACGTGTTTTGAAAACAGGATAGGCCTTTTTAAGAAAGGGAAACGCTATAGAAATCAAGAAATTGATTCTTTGCCGTTCTCAACTGGAACGGTCAAGAACATGTACTGAAAAAGCAAACAACTTTTTTAAAAACAGTCATTCTGACAAGCAGAATCTGTTCTCCACCGTTCTATTGCGGAACAGGTTCTCTACCGAGTTTTTTTTGTAACATTTATCACTGGGTTCCAATATTTTCCTTCTTTCTATGATCTAACAACTCTTGTTTGTTTTCTCTCATCTCTATTGCTGTTCTTTTTTTTTCTATTCTTTGAAAAGTAAAGAAAACTTTATTTTTGATCTTGACTTACGATTATTGCGTAGTTAGTAGTACGTATCATTATCATTGATATGTTTGTGTGATTCTAAGAAAATCAGATTGAGATTATTGCTTACAACAAGGAAAGTAACTGATAAAAATTACTTAAATAACATCTTAAAATAACCATATACACAACAACCTATATCGGATCTAACAGCTAGATCCGCCGATGATCAGCTATTAGCGATTTCTAATGTGCTTAAGAAAGAAGATCAAATCGAGTAATATATTAGTGGTTGTTGATGAATATTAGTTGAATTACGTCTTTTTAAAATATTAGTAGTTTCCGAAAATTTTACAATTTTTTTATAGACTATTAATGAATCTACTTCAGAGATCGAAAATAAGATTTCAAGAACAATAATTTCTTTTGTATTAGAAATCATTTATTTTAATTATTGTGACTTTAAGTGTTGTTAAATAAATTAAACTGGATTAACAATCTAAACATGTTGAAATACAGAATTATGAAACTCTTAATTGATTTTTAATTTAATTTCAGTTTTTGAACTGTGATTTTAAGAATGAACTGTATTAATTTATTTTATCATGAAAATATTAATGTTTCTACTAGTTATCTTTCTTATATGTTCGGAAAATAATATATCAAAGAGTGTGGATACTGCGGTGTCGCTGATCTCTGGAACTCGTATGTAAAACTAAATAAAAACAAAATTATACATAAAAATAAGTATTTCCTCCTATTTTTATTTCTTGCCAAAGAAAAATACAATAGGATTAGATATTTGTCAACTAACCAATGATTATTAAGATCAAATTTAATTGGATACCTTCATAAAATAAACAACTTGGTTTTTATTCTAAAAACAAAAAGAAAATCGAAATATTTCTCATAGTAATACTTTCTAATCTATACCAGAAATCATTTAAACCTACATTTTATCTTTTATGACAAATGATTAAAGCAATTAATAAAATATCATCGAGCAATCGAATGTATCGTTTCGTTTTACATGAAATGTTCAAATCATTATAGAGAAAATTTTTCCGTATTCAATAATGCAATCAATAATATGTATTTAATATTAATAGGAAAAAAAACATGATAATTGGTTTGTTTTTCTCTTGTCAATGTTATTAAAAATCCAAGTCTTTTTACAAAGCAGTTGACTAATAATAATATTAAGAAAGTAGTTAATGTTTTGGATAGCTGAATTATGATAAATTTCGTCGGATAATGAATTAAGCGTAATATTAGTGATGAAAATTAATACGATTTTTTGGAAATATAATTCATTAGATGTTTGTCTGTTTTCAAAATTTATATGGTATCACTATTCAAGAGAAAAAAATATTCGCCTAATTTTTTAAATGTTTATCAAGTGATGATTTGGTCGTATTTTATTCATGATATGCTTGTATTCAATCTGATGATTGAAAATTCATTCAAAGGTCTTGATATTGATTGTCGTGATATTTTACTGTTGATTAGTAGATTTTACAATGATGTATACTCAAACACAATTTTATTAACCTAATCAAATAAGAAAAATTATTGTTAACAAGTCATTAAGTTCATTTTTTATTTATCTACGTTATTTATTGAAAAAAGTCTTGACGAAGAATATTTAAATAAGCAAAATAATAGTTTCGGTAAATTTACATACACTAACAGAATAAATGGAATTCATTGTTATAGTGTTAACTACATGTGATAAAATATATTTTAAGTGATTAAATATGTGTGCAATGAAAGAAATGGGTTAGAAAGAATACTGATTTTATGTTTATCTCGTTTGACTTGAGAAAATTGAAAATAGTATTATATAAATGTTGATTTAGTTAAAATTCAATGCTTGAACAAAAAAAAAAAGATCTACACTATTCTTCAATATTTCTTACAATGCTAATATTGTTTTTTTTTCGTATTAGATCTTGTTAAACAAATTCAGGGCGAAACGGCGAGAAATGAAGTTAAATGCAATGAATCAATCTGATGTCATATAAAATATGAAATTTATTTATTACAATTTATCAAGATGATGTCATCATGTTTTGTCTGTTTTTATAGATATTTCATTTGATGATGTAATAACATTAATATATAAAAAAAAAAAAAA